GAAAGTATTTATAGAAAAGACAGAGAGAGTCAACTTTACGGCAGTGGGAAAGTGACTGGAGCCGAGTTGCCAGATCAGGACCAATAATATTGAAGATTATTCTTGGGATTTTATCAGGAAGCCCAAGGTAAATAGCAAGGGCACTCACCTTTATTACCATATTCACGACGTTTCGGCTGTTGTACGCTCCGGCCTTTTTCAGATGATTGAAATTTCAAACTGATCCCTTTATTTCGATCACCGGGGCAGATAGTCCTAATTCCACGTGCCATGCCTCTTCCGGTTGCCTCAGTTATTTCCCTTATATCCTCAAGGACACATGCTCCAGTCGATAAAAGCGCTAGTTGGATCCAATGACTTGACGCAAAGAGTTGTGAGTTCAATACCAGGCAGTGGTGAACAAGAACCAAAAAGAAAGATAATTGAATTAAAGGGAGATAACTGAGACATTCGGACATCATGACATTTTCCACTGAGCAGTTTTGAAAAAAAAATCACATATTTTACATAGATAAAGCTCTTCGTAAGGTGTGGGCCGTACCTATGTGTACAATTATTTTGTATTTCTTTAAGGATGTGGGCTACCAGAGATTCGTTTAATGAGTCTATTGGAATCTTCTCCAATCACTCCGAGTTCTCCAAATACAACTGGAACTTTTAATGTCCTTGTTCGCCACATTTTTGAGATTTCGATTTCAAGGTCCTTGTTCTTGGATAGTTTTTTTGAAAATCTTCAAAGATACATTGCAGTCTGCAGGGACTGCCATATTAAAAGAAAAATGCAAACAATTCTTGTAAAAATTCTTTGTTCATCGAATATCTTTTTCTTCAGATAATAATGTCCTTAATGTATATTATTCATAAAAGCCTATCTAGTTTGATAATTAGATAGTTTATTGCAGTTTTTATTTTACGACTTGGAGCAGGTTTTTAAAAAGTTGGCATTAGTTGTAAAAAAAAATGTTATTTAATTTCTCGAAGGAGTCCTGCTTATAAGAAAGAAAAAAAAACGCCTGGATAAAGGCGTTGGTTAGATCCAGTGACAGACCCAAAGACTGTGAGTTCAATACCCGGTTAAGGCAGTGGAAAACTTTCGGAGGGAAAATTAACAGGTGATAACTGATAACTGACATCCATTAAAACATGGCACGTGGAACTAGAACAGTCTACCCCAGTGAGCGAAATAAAGGGTTCAGTTCGAAATTCCAACCACCTGAAGAAGGCCGGAGCGTACAACGGCCGAAACGTTGTGATAAATATGGTGACAAAGATGAGGCCAATAGTCCGACTAATGTAAATACTGTAAAGAAAAAAAGTTTACGAACTCTTTGAAATTCTATAAAATTTCATAAAATTAATGGTGGGTGGTAACAGATGTAAAAAAAAATATATATTTTTACCAAGATTTTCTAAAAATAAAAATTTCAAAAATAAATTCATTCATTTTTGAATAAGTCTTGAAAGCTTCATTTAAATTAGACAATTATTTGATTTTTGCAATAATTTAAAAATTAATGGGTTTTCCCCCGACATTGGTACACTAAAAATGGCGATGACCACAAGTCTTACGATTTTAACAAAAAAAAACAAAAAAACGAGATTTTTTACCCAAATTTAAAACATGTTTGAAAGAAGAAAAAAATTTTTTTTAAATATTTATAAAATACTTTGTTCTTTCCTCTTAATAATAACATAAACATTTTAATGATGAAACTTTGTTTTTATTAAGTTTCGGACCTGTTATCATTATCCTATACTGATTTTTTAGCGAATTGTTGGAGATATCTAATTTAAAAAAAAAAAAAAAGTATCCTTCGTGTTGAGACACGTGGCGTTATATTAATCGTAAGGCCAGAGGTCATGCAGTTATATATTGTCTCAAGCCTTGTCGCAAATTTTATGAGAGAAAATGCATCGTAAGGATTATAATGAAGTAATGCCTATAGACATATCTGTCTCTTTCTTTTCGAAAAAAACAAAAAAAGAAAAGAAATAGAAGCACAATTTTCTTTAGACACACTTGTCAAAATGAATCTGTCACCGAAACTGCGGGGGTGAAATGTCACAGACACTTTTAAAGTCATCTGGGCACTGCAAATTATGATAGCTCAAGTCGTTTCTCAACTTGGATCTTACCTGAAAATATCATTTCGCTGTGGTTACAGGTCCTGAACCCCAACGCCTGTCAGACATGTTGCAATTTAAAAAGGTTCTTCTAGGTATGACCAAAAATGACCATAAAATAAAATAAAAAAATATCGATTTTAGGAAAACGATTTTCTTCGGTATATACAGACAGAAAGAGAGAAACGGTCAAGATTTTCTAAATATGTAGGAACATCATTTCAAGAAGTAATTATTTTACGCAAAAAGTATTTATTTTAATGCACTTTCAATTTATATGTGAATGAACTTAAATTCAGCGGCGAATATTAATTGCATTATACAATGAAAATTTCAGAACAAAGCTAAATAGATATCTACGTTATGTCAAAGATGT